ATCCGCTGATGACTCCAGATAATAATTGTGGTATTTTGCCAATTGGCTTAAGTTGAAAGTAATCAGCAGTAAAATTTCAAATGAGAAAGTGGATGGTACAGTTTTATTTTGAGGTTTAGATTTGTTGGACTTCATCGCATTCCGTGTCGACGATGAACACAGCTAAGTAGTCTAGATGGAGGACAGAACAATTGTTCATTATCGTCAGGTTTTCTATAGTCCTCCAGTTGTTGATTATCAACAATACGAACTATGGTGAACTTTATTTCATGGACTGTTATCCTGATGTTACTTAAATATGAAGAACAAAATTCAGCAGCTCGTTCGAATCACTTAGTCTGGTAACCACGAAGTGATCTGCAGAGATCTTCTCCCAGTGCTTTAAAACAACTCACTGACTGTCACGTACGGAGAATAAACTGCTTTAATGGAAGCCATCAGTGATTGGAAATGTCATGACACAAACAAATGGTGAGGTTTGTTTGGAAAAATACAAAATAATATGGTGAGCAGTTGGAGCTGTCAAATCGTCATTACTCTAGTTAAGAAACTGAAAAACAATTTCTTGTCATCTTGAAACACAAAATAATCATCATAAAAGTGAAACAAATAAACAATGTGATTTATTTGTAATTATTTACACAGGTGTGCCTATGAATAACAGCATTAACCATTCTTCAACATAGATCATTGCTCCTTTGAAGCGGCAATTCTCATCAACCCTCGAAGCATTTTTAGAAGATCTACCTGAAACATATGAAATGAAAGTGATTGAATAATTTTAGCCAGTAGATAGATGAAGTGAGGTATCTGTTGTTTGATCGTCATTTTTAATAGAAATAATCGAGAGAAGAGAATAGTTAGTTTTCCGTAATCGTTATATGTGGTACAAATTTAGGGTGGATAGAATGCCATGTAACATTTAAATTACAAAAGTTGCACTATATCAGATCCTTTAATTTATCAAAAACAAAGTTAACTAACACATGAATCATCTCACTCATTACGGTAGGAAAGGAATATCAGTTTCTAACAGACTGAAGCTTTAACACTGTTGTCCTCTCAAGATCCTACGGTTTATATGTGTTAAGTGATAATATGAGTCGGTAAATTTTTCCAATAACACTGAGTAAATTCTTTGTTCATTATGTAGATTTGTGTCCAATTCATTCCTAATATTTTGAGAACAAAACTCCACTTGTATACATATCATATACGTTTATTTTCTTGATATATGAGTAACGTTTACCTCATAAATGTCGTGACTAAAACCACCCGACTTTACATCATGTACATTGAGTTACGTCGAGGGAAACAATATAAAATAGAATATCACTTGTTTTACCTAATATACAAATGAAACGTCATACTTGACTGTGTTTTGTATTTGACTGTTTGAATGCCGTGCAAGAGTGTAAGTTATTGATCTTGTATTTTATAATTTACAAGAGTTTTCAATAAATGAAACTCTTATGGAAGAATATCTGTAGATTGTACAGTGGTATTTATTGGATACATTATCAGTATATCTTCAAGTTGACAAAAGATTAAATGAAAATGGTAACTCACTTTTTGACGAAGGTTTGTTTAAGAGAATTAGTTCAAAAGTGCTGAACCTGTTTAAATATATCTAAAATAAATTAGAAGAAAATAATAGAAGTTTAATCGGAAATGAGAACTTCAATAACAAATCAATACATCGTCACATTCCTATAGGTTTCCATTTTGATGATAGATCATGAACACGCGAATGTTACGTGATTGTTTTTCTATAAGATTTTAAACTTATTCTTTATGGTGATAAGAAGTTTTAAATGAAGTAATACATCATATTATCTACAAAATTGGACGATTGTAATTGTGAGGAGTGTTTTCAAATTACTTTAGGAATGTTGAATGCTCTCCATTTATCCCACTCCTAAGGTCAATAAGGAGTTTTCAACAAACAGAATGTGTTAGATTTGAGCAGGAATTTCCGGAGATTATTTTGTTCATATAAAGGCATGACTGGCTAGAACTACTAATATCTTATGAAACAACTGAAATCTTAGTAACTGAGACGATTATTTGACCGTATGCATTGAATACGACTCAATAGGCGAGTTAGGCAGATGACAGTGACATAAACCATAAAATTTGTTGTGAACACAGTTATAATGCGAATCCTATAAATGATAGTAAGTGAAGTAAAGATATATTGATAAAGGAATGGAGAAGATCATTTTAAGTGGTTGTGAAAGTATGCAAGTAAATACTGGTATATAACTCTCAGAAATCTTACGTTTCCTTTTCCATGTATTTAGCTTATATTATGAATTCATTTGGTTGGTAAATAACAAACAATTCTCAAAGTTTATTCAACAGTCTAATCTGACGAGTTAGTGGTTAAAATTTTCATATGCCCTTTATTTCAGTCTTTCCATGCAATAATAGGTTGATTCATTTTTTGACATCCGATCCTGTTTTTATTATATCAACATCACTACAGACTGAACGCTAACGATAGTAATTATGCAAATTCTCAGTAAAAAAAGCGATTTCTATTGGAGTCAAATATTCAAATGAATTTAATCTCTCCTTACACTGACATTTCCATTGAGAAAAGATCCAATCGGTCAGTTTTATGCACTGGTTTATGGATTACTGTAGGTACTTCGATTTCATCAAACACTAATATTTTATAAAATTCAATGTTGAGAATGAGTATTTCAGTTTGATAAGTAGACGAAACGTTGTAACAGTTGGTATCTTGAGGGAAGCTGGAACTAAAATTTAATCAGAATAACTTGGGTGTATTTTATTCGATTGAGTGTTCCTCAACTGTTCACTACCTGTAATATTAAGATATCATAATTACAAAATTGGTCGAAATTACTGTTATAAATGAGTTTAGTTGGAAGCTGTTTTGAACACATATGACCACAGTATAAGAAGATGTAGAAGATAAATTTGAGAGACTGATTAAGATATTGTGAATGAATATCTTATATGGAAAAACATTTTACAACAGTGATAACAACAATTTGCCAGTATCCTGGTCATCTATCTTGACCAGTATCCGGATACAAATGACTGATACTTATGTTTATAAAAATGTTCAGTTTGAATTCTACTATACCGTAAACTGTCAAATCGGTAGTGAAGCTCATTAAATTGAATTACAACGATTATTTTTATGAATGATCTTGAAAACACAAAGCTTCAACAAAGAATTGACGAAATGATGGAATACTCCAGGTATGTTGACAACACTTTGTTGTCTTCAACATTAACCAACATGCAATTTTCATATTAAAGCTCTCCAGCAAGGCTCATCATGATGTACAGTTTATTACGGGGTATGAAAAGAACGACATGTTCTACTTTCTTGAGATTGTTGTACAACGGAGAGTAGACGGTGCAGTTCAACATTCGGCTAATAGAGAAAAGTTATTAAAATGGTCTACACTCGAATTTCAATAGTTTTTCAACCGATTACAAAAAAGCATTGGTCGAAACACTATTTTGTAGATTAGCAAGGATATATACCATTGACTAGCTGTAAGATGAGCTAGCTAGTGTTGAAAAATGTCCAAGAGAAAACTACTATCCACAGAAATTTATTGAGAATTATACAAAAAACTGAAGACACTAAGCTGGATGTGGCTACGGCAAACAAGTAACCAACATTTATTTACCTCAACTTCAAAAGTGATGACGTTGCAAGGACAATCATCATCCAACACCTGCTGTGAAACTGAACTACTATTCCTATGTAAAATATGTTCAACAACTCAAACAAAGGTTGTTAAGTACCATTTTCATGTTGCCACTAAATATGTCCACAAACTTACATATATATGCAAAGCAACTTCACTGATCGGACAGAAAGGAATATACATCTCAGACATTTTGAACATATTTCAAAAAGCCTTCAATGAAGAAGCGTTATAAAGAGGACAATTACTATACATCTCTTGAATACAGAACATCAGGTTTATACGTTGGAATCCCCAGAGATGGTTAGTAAACGGCAAAGCTCCAGTTTCCTGAAGTTTGTTAAGGCCGTCTCAATCAGGCGTCAGAAGCCGAATTTCTGCGCCCGAAAGGAAATTGTTGATAATCTTCCTCTGACTCGATAGAATAAACATTCCCTTGTTATATCATAAAATTCTGTTCAACTATTTCTTTCACATGATTACATCCTCACGTGTTTTTGGAGTTTACTCATTAGGTAATTGCTTGTTTGCAGACACTTGGTCCTTTGTTACTATCACTATTGTGAAATGTTCTTCCACATAAGATATTCATTCACAATATCTTAATCAGTCTCTCAGATTTATCTTCTACATTCTCCTCATATTGTGGTCACATGTGATCAAAACAGCTTCCAACTAAACTCATTTATAACAGTAATTTCGACCAATTTTGTAATTATTATATCTAAACATTACGTTCAGTAAACAGTTGATGGGAACCCAGAAGAATAAAGTGAATCCGTAGAATAGATGAACTGTAGCCGGCGGCGGGATTCAGAATACACGGTTTACAATATCTGGGACTCGTTGTGTGGAAGTAGCTCCAACTAAGAGTTAGTACTTACCGTGGAACTCGAACCCAGTACATTTCGTTTCGAGTACTTTATGTGCTATCCACCTAGCTATTGAGTGCAGATAGCCATTTACTTACGTAATGCACACAGGATGTACGGATGTCTATCAAGACAGATCAAAGTTCAGTCAAAATGATCAACAACGGAATCATTATAAACTAAATTTTAATAAATTCACGTTCTTCTGCTTCAATATTTGTTCATGAGCTCTTCGAGATTATGACAGGAACCATGTGTATGCAATTACTGTTTCTTGCTATTTGTGCGTGATAACATTGTGAACTTCCTTTGAATGGAGTAAATACTTGTAATGCACCGTTCGATTACTTTGATAAGTAAATATATACAAACAAATATAACACAAATTATTAATAGAAATCTACAGAATAGATCACGTCACATTACTTACCTCATCGAAATTTGGATTTGTTTTCGGCTTTGAAATTAGAAAGCATGTTACAAACTCCTTTCCCGATATATCATTTCTTAAACATGAAAATCCCTTACCTACACGTTTGATTGTCATATCCTTGGTCAGTACCAAATGAAAAGGTAGTATGCCTAAAAATTCCTTCTCTGGTAATGAGACTGTTAAATCCAATAGAGATATATACTTATTGAGTTGATTATCTTTCTCTAATAATTCAATCCATGATAAACCTTTATTGTATAGCTTAAATGTGTATATGTGTGAAGCTGCTTGCTTCCTTTTATCAACTAATTTTACACTAACATCCAATTGAAAATATAATTTTGCAATATATATTAGTTGACTTCTCAGATAATGCGCAAATTCTTCACGTACGGAAGAATAGACCAAAGTGATGACATTGTGATTGATTGAAGTGACTTGTATATTAGGCGGTTTAATTTTTGGATAAGAATAATGTAAATACTCGTGCATTTCATTAATATTATGTACGAAGTCAATGTAATTTTTACCCAGTACTTGTAATAAACTCTGGAAACCATTATTACTCAGATAATCGACAGATTTAATACCGAATTCGTAATAAATATCTTCTTCAGGTAAACCAATAAACTCACATAATGTACTGATTATTCGTGTTAGTAATCGTGTAGAATAGTTCCGATTAGTTTGTATTTCCAGTTGTTGTCCGTTGACTATTTGTACAGCAGCCTCCCATGTTGATGGACCGAATGTCTCATCAACATAATTTCGTAGAATTTCAAATAATATACCATACATTTATTTCTATGTCTTAATGAGTGAGCTAGGAGAGATTTATTCTCTCATTTGTATTTATATCATTTAAATACTCTTCGATGTACATATAGTGACCTCAAAACCAATCCGAATGAATAGAGAATTTTGGAAACAGATTTTGTTTACTCAAACAAAAAGTTTCAAATCATTATCACAATTAAAATTATTAATTGTTCTCCATTATGCTCCAACAAATTTTGCCTCATTATACTTGTTAATTAAGGTCGAATTTCAAAATGAAACACTCACTTGAATGGTTGGAGATAGAGGATAATTATACTTAGAATTCAATTTAAGTAAAGTACTTTCCTCAGATTTTACGAGCTAAATTTATTTTAATTGATGCATTGGGACTCCATCGAAATTATTGAACCTGTACTTTTCCTAAATATTATTCAACAGTGTTATGTGGTGGTTGAAAGTGGTCTATGGGAAACCTTAAACCTAACTTTTGTACTAATGGTCACATTTCATCAAGGTGTATTTGTAATCTTGACAGAACTGTGTTTAACTGGTGTATTGGAAGCGCGTCGCTTAGCTTCACAATTTGAGATGTCTCTAATGAAATATTCCTACCACGAATGATGTCCTGCAGGGATGAGATACTTATGAATAATCTACCACCGATTAATGCCCATGCAAGTGAACATATTCAACATATGCGAGTCAACGGCGACATGCAACTTGATCAAGCAGTTTATATTTTACAGACACATGAAACAATTAAGTAAATCATAGTTACAATTTATACATTATTCCAATTTAACTAATTCAACTAACTGAGTAGAAACAAAGTAAAACAAGTTAGTTATGAGGCATAATAAAAATTCAAGCTACCGATGGAGCAACAACTCGATTGTTTTGATAGAAGCTCATTCAGCAAATCACATCGACACTACATACTTTTACCCATTGATTACTATAAACGACTGAGTGACCGTTATCAATCAAATGCCATTCGATAACACCGTTTACAAATTTGAGATCATGCAGTAGCAAATCCAAAAGTAGTTGTTAATTTTGATTAATTAGGGAAGACTACGTGATTACATTGTTTCAACGAAACACACACGCCTATAACCATTGTGTTGTATGAAATGATATAGAGAAAAAAATTGAGAAATTATTCAGGGCGTTACTTTTTGTTTTTTATAAGGAAATGAAACAAAGAAAATAACGCCAATTAAGTTTACAATCAGAAGTTCCAATCGCTTATCCTTTTTGAAAATTTCAAGGAGATCACACTCTGTCATTTCTACGACAAGATAAAATAAGTTTGTAATGTCTCCTGTCAAAATATATGAGAGACCCCCAATCAACAATTATCAAAATCGCTTACTAAACGAATTGCAGATTGCATAACTAGATAAGTGTAGATGAAAACTAAATGCATCTGATTGAGTGAACAACTATCCTGTAACAGATTGCATTTATTCTGCCATAATTCGTTATGTTTTTGTGGTGTTCTATCCTTAACATTTTGAAGTTTTCTACAATCACCCATGAAAATCTGTGAGTATCTTGGATGGTCAGATCACTCCAGTCACACAAATTCTGGTGAATATAAAAGGATAAATGGTGGTAAGATGGTGATTCTACATGAAATGAAAACTTCATTCATGTTACGAAATCTAGATTTCATGAAAGAAATAAAGAAATATTGATTAGTCGATGAGAGGGGTGTCACCACTCACACAAGTGTATAGTCTTCAAATCAGTTGAAACCACTCTCTTTATGTCTTTTAAGAGCTCCTCAACTCGGAAGACAAAAATACCAAGAAATTCAAAGGAACTCTAATAGGACACCACTAATCTCGAGAATTCCTTGAAGAGACCGAGACAAACATTGAAATATGCGATCATGAATACTCAGGAAAACAGAACAAGTACAGTGAACATCAATCCACAACGTTAAATACAGATTCATATCATTGTATCATGTGTTCAGATGTTGTCGAATCAGACGGTCAAATTATAAAATGTGGATGCATTATTTCCATTGACGATATGACACAAAACGTCTGGCAAGCATTTCAATAAAAATCTCAAATCACTAACTCTATGATAAAGTGGGGCATCAATTGAAACAGTGATTCCCGTTGGGTTGTAAAGACCTGTTATTTCCTTGTTAAACCACAAAATGATGAAGATAATTATAATTCATCTACAAGCTAGTGTAGGAGTAGCGAGCTGGGGGTAAAGATGCTTGAGAATGAACGCAAAAATTAATCTTAGAGGGGAAGAAAACGTAATCATCTATCGAATAGTAGTGAAAGAAAATAATATTAGGAGGCACCAGTTGATATTGTTTCTTAACATACTGTCGAATCAGTCAGAAAATCAAGACCAGGTTTAAACTGTCTTCCTTGCGCGTTTGCCGATTCCAATTACTTACTGTTTGAAGTGGTCATTTTCGAAGCACTAAACAAGTGTGTGTTAATAAAAAGGAGTTTTATGGAAATACAATTTTCGTGAGCCGACTGTGTGGATTATGTCCAAGACAGCTTTATCTTGAGGAGACCGAAGAGTTCATAATATTGTAACCAATGTGAATCGATGGTCACCGTTACTTTAAATGAATGATGTAAAATGGGTTAGGTATTTATCGCCGGTCTGAAGGAATTATTGTACCACCTTTTCTAGTAATGTAAAGTCGAATGTAAACCAAGTGTCGAGAAAAAAACGAATATATTCTGATTTTTGAGTGGAATATGTTAAAAATGTAGTCAAGTTTACCATAAGTTTTATGAATGATTATTATTACAACGTATTTTCACCCGATCGAGTGGTTTAACTCTTGAGTGAGAAGTAACCGAGGTCTAAGAGTTGTCTAATGATCATTTATTAGTCTGTGAACAATAAATTCACAGAAATATCATCAAGCTCGATTAATGTGTCGAATTTGGAAGAATTTTAGAATATTTTCTAGTGAATACAATTCCATCCAACATCTTGACCGACATTTTATCATATGAAGTGGTTTCAATGACGTAGTCTTGAACAAGTATGATGTGTGTTAGTTAGCGAAAGTGAAATATGGTTAGTTGTTAAGTGTGTGAAAACAGCCGCAGCCTACGGACTTTTAAATATTCGGTTTCCCTTTCTATCATTGATTTTACTGAGGACTGGCTGAATGGGACTGCTTGTAATTGTTTTGAATAAAGTATTCACCTGATTCTCCATTTTCAGTCGTGAATCCTAGTTCCAACATAGCATGATTAGTCTTACTGTCGTATTTACATGTTACAGTAATATGTATGAGAGAGAGAAAATATTTTAAACATCCATATAGGGGCGGCCTGCTTGAGCATCTGGGCTACCTGTTCCTGCCATCTAGATATTTCAACAAGTTATCTATTGTTGTTTGTTTTAATATATCATTATGTTTATTAATCGCATAACCTATTCTGCTGCGTTTCTGAAAAGTGTACAACCTTTCGTTGTCAAAGTTACAGAAAACTCAATAAGAGACAATATGGTTGCTGGCAATGTACAACGAAAAGAATGTTCATTATTCAGTTGTTCATTCACTGAAGTGCTAACATCTAACTGGCGATTCCTCAATATTTATCGCCAGGACCGACCAAGAAGAAAGAAACGGAAACTTGTTGAAATACTTTGCGCTGAGAATTCTATATTGTACCAAAATTATAATATTGAATAAAGCTAATAATAATAATAATAATAATAATAATAATAATAATAATAATAATAATAATAATAATTATATCGGAGTCAGTGTATTTGCAATGTATTGATCAGTCTGGTGATCCGTACCTATTAATTACATGATTAGGTCATTACTTTCATTATGTGGTTTGTAGTGTCGGTTGCTACGTCAAGCCGATATAGCTTATCCTACATTCCGAACAGGAAAATCTATTCATTCTTCTTCAGTTACATGTTAAACTTGTTAATTATTCACTTATCAACCTTGACTGTTTTTATATGAGTGCATGTGCGTGCATTTCTTATCTCACTCATCACATGTATGTAACTTATTTTTAACTGACTACAATTGTCGATTAACACTTGGTTAAATCGAATTGGCTCACGCGCATTCTACACCGCGCGTCATTTTGCTTCGCTTGGTTTCTCCGATCGTTTATCTGGATTAATGATTGTATGAAACACACGAATTCGACGTCCATTCTCGTATTCGATTTATTTAATTCCGTAATTCACTAACACGATTTTAGTCGACAATTATATATGAGGATTGATGATATGTATATTTCAATAGCAATCATTTACAGGATCAATCTGGAGTCAGATATAGGACCACTAAAGTTTCGAATAAAATTTATTGACTTAAATCTGACACCGTTTTGAGCATAATTTTGAAAATTCAATCTACTACACCACACATTTAATGTAACTGTAAAATGAAACCATTTCATTGTGAATTGATAAATTGTTTAATAGTTGATTACTTAATATGACGATAATGACCAGTCATTATGACTTTGAACTAGTTTGTCTGTAATAGTGGAGTTGTTAAACCTGATTATATTGGGAATATAAACTCTTCGTAACTAGAATTAATCTAAATGTCATTTACGTTTGTAGGAAAGAGATCACCCGTAAGATGCGGCAACGTTAATCTACATTAATTCAGTGAACAATCTAACCGTATTCTCACTATTTCAGTTATACATGATATTCAGTTATGAACATATTTGTTTGAAAATCTGTTGTTGTGTTCTGAACAGTAAAATACATCATCATTTACCGCTAGTGTTCGTTTCTCTAATTTTGTCGAGTAATATTTCAATTTTCTCAGTCATTTGGAATATAACTTCAAGTATTATAGATATTTAATGAATAAGTATTATCTTGTAACTGTCTTCTGAGAAAGATAAAAATTAAGGTGAATTTATTTTGTATTTCTGTTAGGAAGAAATGGTGGATGAGCACTGCTGAGGAGTCCCATACTAGGACAAAATGGTCGTCCACTGCTCCCTGGTTTTCATTTGTCTTCTGACATTTATCGGTTCATGATCTCGACTTAAACATAACAATCTCCACAATCCCATGCTGATGAGAATTGGAATAATTATACTTCATCATGTTTTTAGCACAATATCAGAGGGTTTTTTCATAAACAACTAAGTACGTATAAATGAAACAAGTTAGGAACAAAAAATATCGAATCCAACCATTAATAAGTAGAAATAGGAACTAAAAGTGTGCAGTATCTTCCTTTTAGAGATATGTGGATAATATTAATTAGAGGACAGATAAATATACCAAGAATTCACTATGTTTAGTTGTGAAATACCAACCAAATTTAAGTTTGTCACAAAGAATGATATGAAATTTTACTTATGTCTATTTTCAAGTGACACAGAAATTCAATGTAAAAGTAAATATATAGTTATTATAACATTGATTACATAGACTAATACTCTACAACACATAAAAAATGTAACACTTCATTTTTTAAAAAATATTGTCCCACTTTTAGCACCTTCATGAGTCTTCACTCATAGACTTTTGTGAAAATTTGCACAACCAGTTGCCTAGATATTGAAGTGGATTTTCAGGTTGAACAATACCGATTTCTGTTAATCCTAATGTTAATGGGTTTACTATTAAATAAAAAAAGAACACAATGAGAACTATCGTAACATTACATTGTTTGTTGTGGTCACCAACGACAAAAACAATAGTAATTTAATCAACAACTGAGTTTTCTAACACCTAGTAAAATCTGTTCATATAACATTGATCTGATTGAAATTGCGAAATGATCGACGGTTGATTGAACAGTTTAAGAGTGTAGTTTAAAAACCTCAGAGACTTTAGCAAAAAATCATTTCAAGATGAAAATATATACTTAATCTCAACGTGGCCATTTCCACATTTCACTGACGTTCCATCTACGTAAGACCACGAAATAAAAATTCCACTTGAACATTTCTTCTTTTTCATATTTATGGGTTATATTCACCACAGATTTACTTCATCATGTGCACCTTTGAAAGTCAAAGAGCGCTAAACATCTGTTTTATTCTAGTACTCACCAATAACTTTGCTTGTGGTCGAACTAAGGGCCTTATGGTGTTACTGATTAGGTTAGAACTTCGAACCTTTGGATCGTCATCAAGTGATATATATACTGATTTCAATGAATTCATGATCATTAATTATCAGTAATGACTAGACTTGCTCTCTTTAAGTTTGAACTTCACTGACAATAAGTTCTTACTAAAACATCAGTAACTCAGCTTGAAATAATCGTTTGAGAATACGACATAGTGTTGATGAGATGTTTTCATCGTTGTCAAGTGTGGAGTTAACTTTCGTACCTCTTTTATTAACTTACTGTATCTTAATATCCTTAAGACTATTGAGTGATTTCAGTCAGATACTTGGATTTTTTGACCACTTTTTTAATGAAGTGACATTTATACATCGTGCTACACTGTTATAGAAATATGATTAAGATTGTACAGTTCTAGAAAATGGCACCAGTATAAACAGAAAAATTCCGCATCAAAATGATTTTATTTTTCCAAATGATAGAGACTAGTTATTTGATGAGGCACTTCGATCTAACAACTTCATTTAAATATGATTTATTCTTAACTAAAGTATATCTAGATTTCAAAAAATTTAGCCAGTCTATAAATTAAAATGCATTTAGATTTGAAGGATTCATAAAATAAGACGTTTACACACATTTTTAAATAAACCGGAACAACAAATTCTGGAATATCATCATAATACCAATATGAAACTCTCAACTAACCAAATTTCGAACTAAGAATGACCATCTCAGTTACCTTGTTGATATTTGAAACAAGAAATTCAGTAATTCTGTCTCGAAGATGTAACTTTTTTATAAATTTTTAATTCAAAGATCCTCAAAAATTAATTATACTTAAGGATCAGTTGTTTGAAGCGATTTGGAGATCATTCATTTAGCTAATCCTTAACTAACTTATTTAATACACAAACTAATAATCATATGTTTGAAAGCCAAACTTTCTGATCTTTTTGCCTTTACTCTCATCTACCAGTCTACTTTTTCCTTCCTCCAACTAAATTGACCCCAATCGTCCAACATAACTACATGAAAGTTGTTTGAAATACTAGGTCAAAAATATCATAGATTATTTGTACCCCACTCTTTGATAAAGCAGAAGCTTTAGGTATTCCTGGGATGAAGCCTGAAAAATGAATATTTATTTTAACTATGATGTATACTTCGTCACATAATTGTTATTATGATTTTCATTTCACTTACTTCGTCACAGACAGATATACCTATTTCTAGAATACAAATGAAGCACTAAATGTCTAAATTCAAGAGACTAAAATAATTTATTTATTCGTTTCTCTTTCATGAATTTCCATGTAAGAATATAAAAAATGAAGATATTTCTCATGACGACATTATAATTTATGGACGAACCAACCTGAATGAAGACAGCACGATCTTGGATTTGGGTGCGAACTCCATTTACTCATTTGGCTAGGTATCGTTTTGTTATTATAGCTGATGTCATTTCGTAATGCAGACATTAAATCTAACTCCTAACTCTAATGTTCAACTGTAGATCCTAAATCTAATTCACTACACTAATGAAAAACCCTCACTTGATTCTAGAGGGTTGGTGGACATTCCAAGGTCACTTTGGCGTTGCTAAAACGTCATCCATAAATTAGCCTCACTTTTCCCATTTATAATATCCTTAAACTAATCTCTTTCTCTTTATTTACATTTATATTACGTAATGATGTGTTGAAATATTCTTGCATGTTAAGAAAATAAAAACCAAAATTCAGTGGCCCGTTATCTTGATGCCAATTAGGTCGGAAGTTATTGTCGACTGGTTCACCACTTTAGTGGTCCTATATCTGACTCCAGATTGATCCTGTAAATGATTGCTATTGAAATATACATATCATCAATCCTCATATATCATTGTCGACTTAAATCGTGTTAGTGAATTACGGAATTAAATAAATCGAATACGAGAATGGACGTCGAATTCGTGTGTTTCATACAATCATTAATCCAGATAAACGATCGGAGAAACCAAGCGAAGCAAAATGACGCGCAGTGTAGAATGCGCGTGAGCCAATTCGATTTAACCAAGTGTTAATCGACAATTGTAGTCAGTTAAAAATAAGTTACATACATGTGATGAGTGAGATAAGAAATGCACGCACATGCACTCATATGAAAACAGTCAAGGTTGATAAGTGAATAATTAACAAGTTTAACATGTAACTGAAGAAGAATGAATAGATTTTCCTGTTCGGAATGTAGGATAAGCTATATCGGCTTGACGTAACAACTAACACCAGGAAACATTATATACAGTAATTTTATGAAGTTTTAACTTTTTGCTATTAAGAATTTCCAACAATAGTTCAGAGAAATACAATTTTTTTATAATTTTGTTGATTAAGCAATTAAAATAAGATAAAATAGTTTCTCTTACCAATATCTTCAAATATTACCGATTTAGACGATTTAAAAGACTTCATTAAATCTACATGTTCATCTTCATTCATTAGTTTGTTTGTATATTTCAAATCTAAAATTTTGAATGAAGTCAGGAATTTTGTTGATGATATAAAAACACTATAAACACTTTGATGGAGTTTTGTTCTCTGAGCTGGATGGTTTGGTCGTGGAGCTGATGATGTCGTTCAGAAGAACGATGAAAGCTCCAAGACCAAACCATTCAGATCAGAGAACAAAACTTCATCAAAATCATACACATGAGCTACAAATCTTCTTCACCATCTCACAGTATAAACATTTTATTTTAGATTATATTTAACTTGAAAAGTAATTAATCTAATCTAGTTTTGACGTGTGATGACTGGCGGTTTTCATCAATTTATGAATATTGAATTATTTTATCAGTTTTTTTTCATAGTGAATAGTAATTTAACATTATTCAATGAACATTTTATTGATAGTGATGTGAACAGAGAAACAAGAAGCCTTGACAAACTACGGAAGCTATTTCTCAGGACATTATTTCATTTAATTCAAAGCTTGTAAAACAGTTACATTTATTTTTTTTTCTTTAGTCTATTCTACAGATCATAAGCTTTCGTTTGATGTATGATTCAGTGCCATAGCCCTTTTTGTTCAAAAGCTATTGTAATTTAAACGTATTATTTTGTACTCTACATTCTACGCTAATCTCCAGTTTTTGACATTAGGAAAAAACGATGGAGTTGATGGATAGGACATACATTACGTAAATCATCGAACTGGACCACGAGGCGAGCCCTAACTTGAAATCCTGAAGGGAAGCGGAAAAGTTGAAGGCCAAAGAACACATTACGTCAGGAAATAGAATCAGATATGAAAAGGATGAATAACAACTGGAAGGATCTGGAAAGGATTGCCCAGGACAGGGTTGGATGGAGAGTGCTGGTGAGCGGCCTATGCTTCTTCATGAGGAGCATCAAGCTTAAGTAAGTAATTATCATACGTTGTGGTCGGGTTAGTCATCTTTTCACACTGATCTGAAATCGGGAACCAGATAGAAATTTGGAATAAATCGTGTAGTGTTCCAGTTGACTTGTTTTCTCTCACTCGCGTGCTCTTCAGCCAATCAGTTGATAGAATAGTTTTCGTTCATCTACCCCACTTCGAACTCACGCGTGCTAGCCTCTAGGTTAAGCTGGTCAGCCTATCGCGTCAAGGTTTTAATCTAGATTAGACAAGTATCCTCTGCACAAGAGTGGGTAGACAGATCAAGGACGTAATAGATAGTTAAAAATTCTCTGATTTAACAAATGATAAAATAATCATAGGTTTCTAGAATGTCACAGATATGTTTTGATGATACGAACTGTACTGAATATTTCAAGAGTAAAACTCCTACAGAAATCATATCAATTTATTCAGTTATGACGGTTTTCGACTAGATCAGTAAACTTGGGACAAACCATTAAGACTAGTTTACGGAAAGTAAAATGTTTACTTACTTTTAGTCATATTTATCGACAAAATAAGTCTTTGGAAAGTCTCTATTCATATAAAAAGGTCACCGAAACAACAAAATCGTGAAAAACAAACAATAACCAAATGACGACTTACTGTTTTGTTCTACTGACTTGGATTTTGTTAAATTTTCTTTGGATTGCAAATAATCCATTTCTTCCGACTGTGATTCACGTTCATTTTGATTATTGCTGAAACAAAATTGAGTGGTGATATTATTTTGAATAAGTATAGTGTCAAGTATTTCTTCATTTTTATCAATATTTTGAATTTCTTCTATATCTGTTTCATCCTCAGAAGGCGTAGTCGAACTCGATTCATCTCCATTATCATAACCATAAACTTCTGAATTAAAAGAGTTTAGTTCATCTATTTGTCTGCAATGACTGTCAATATCTTCTTTTAATAATTTTCGGAAGTTTAACTCTTCTCCAGTTGTTGTATCAGTCATGGTAAAGTTTTCTTTACGGTTTTTAACGAAATAAGTGGTCATTTTTCCTTTACCCTGTGTAACGTTATAAAATGAATTGCGTCTAAGTAAATGAATTATCTCTATTAAAGAGAGCAAGAACGAAGACTGGTATACAATAACATGAATTCATTTTATTTTATCAGGTTCTCATCAGCTGCTTACAACCTAAAATATTTGAAAACCAGCGTTATTACAGATATTGATATACTTATAAATACGAGGGTGATTAGCGATGAATATGTGTATCATGATGTAGCAAATATTCTATTAGAGCTAACAAAGTCATAAAAATTTTGTCTAGAATATTAATAACTGTTAATGATTTTTAGGTTTACATTTATGTTATGTGATTTCATTGTGTTTTTATTTATTGTATACCTTGAGATACCCTTTCAAATAAAGGGAACTTATATTATGCTGTTTTATACTCAGTGTATACTAAGCTTTATTGTTCAACTGTGTAGTGTATATTCTAAACAAATAGTTACCAAATTAATGTTATGATTACGTTGGTTGATAAAAATCATCAAGGAAATGTAAATCAATGTTTTTTTTATTAGTAACACTGATTAGTGCAATATAATAATGCAGAGATAGGTTCACTTACTAAAACGTTTATTCATAATGTTTCGATTATATAAGAGGACAAGATGTACATTGTAATTGTAGATTTACCTCAATAATAGTTATCAGCACGAATGATTCCTAGTTTAGTGGTATTTCACTTGACCACCTCTTAATAGTTAAATATAGATGTATCTGGTTCAGAACTATTAAAATAACAATCGAGTTTTCTTTCATTTTATTTACATTATCGTATGAGATAATACATGAATTTATTAATTTATATTGAAATAATTAGACTACTTATAATGATAACTGTAAATTAAAGATAAAACCATGATTAAGTGAATTCAATTCATTATAGAATGTTACTTTTCTTTCTTTACCAAAGTTCATAAATGAAATCGATCACATATTACCTTTATATATTATTACTGCCTTGTAAAAGATATAAGTATTTTGTCGATAAATATGGCTAAAAGTAAGTAAACATTTTACTTTCCGTGAACTAGTCTTAATGGTTTGTCCCAAGTTTACTGACCTAGTCGAAAACCGTCATAACTGAATAAATCGATATGATTTCTGTAAACTGAATTTTAAAATGTTAATTGAATCATTCCAATCCATTAAGTGATTGTGATCATTAACTAAAACAACAATAAAGCCTCTTTCTAAATCATATGGAATTATATTGACAATTTATTTTTTAAAATGTATTATTTCATTAAAGAACTTGAACATTTTTCTACATACTTTGATTGTTTGTTCACCTCGATATTCCAGAATATAAGGATATCCAAAAAGGTTCTTCGCCAAGTCCGAACTAATATGAACTGTATCTGGCTAATAAATAAATGAATAAGGAGTGCTAGTTACCCATAGTAAATCCTTTAAATACAAGATTTTCATTTTTTCAAAAAAATAGTGTTTTATGAAGTTTCTGTGATTATCAAATTTTAATTATTTAAAACAAAAAAAGTTAAAAATATATAAAGTTCAAAAGTTAGATAAAGCATTATTTAATATTTGTAGAAATCAGAGAGGGGTTTTGTGGAGAAGCCGTGACCAGTGGAGTTCAACAAGGTCTGTTGTGAAATAGTAACTCATTTAAGACAACGGTGAATAGTGGCTCAATTTCGTGGATTGGTTGAAGTTAGACATTAACACCGCTGAATGCCAACTCAGTGGTCGAAAGCCCCTTGGTTCGAATCTTGTGGGGCAAGATCGTGGGTGCGCATTGATGAGGAGTCCCACACTAAGATGAAACGACCGTTCAATGTTTCCAGGTTTTCCATGGTGGTCTAGCTTCAACTAACTCATGAAATCACTTATAGAAATTTTGAGAAAATGATATTTTCTTTTGTGACCTTTATTTTATTATAAAATATTATTTGAATGTTCAATATTCAAATATTATTTATGAAGGATATGGAAGATTTGATGAACTATTTTTTCAGATGGACTTTAATGATCATTTCTTCATAATAAAGTTGGTTAATCAATTGTTATTACAATTCGAGATGTACGAATAGAAAATATGATTTTTCCTAATTGATTAGATTTTTATGCAACCTATAGAAAAGTAAAGAATACTATTTATAATTGTTTGAGAAGTCTATAAATCGATCTAAAAATCCTTATATCTCTTATAAGGTAGTAATAATATATAAAGGTAATATGTAATTGATCTCATTTACGAACTTTAGTAAAGAAAGAAAACTAACATTCTATAATGAATTGAATTCACTTAATTATGGTTTTGTCTTTAATTTACAGTGATCATTATAAGTAGTCTAATTATTTCAATATAAATTAATAAACGTTTGATTTTCTAATGATTTAACCATTCAAGTGACTACATTGGGTTTTTTACACGATCTTCATCTATTCTTATCAATATGTGATTTTAATCACTGAAAAATTCCCATTATATTAAAACACAATTGTATGGATGAAGAACATTCTTTTCAATAATTTCTTATCAGGTTCTACAATTATAAATCCAAATTAATAATCCATAAGATTGGCCAGATTTAAGGCAGAGTACATCATTTGGAAATTGTAATATGTGAATTAAGGATTGTTGTTTGTTATCAAATCAGATCCTTAATGTTGGGGCTGACAAATATGAAGTTGCTAACTTGAATCAGTTTATAAGTGAAATGAAATTGTGTGATAAATGGTCAGAATAAGTATGGTCAACATGGGGTGAGTGAGAGAATAATGGAATAAAAATCAGAAATTACGTATTATGTAGAATAATATGAATTAGGTCAGATATAGTAGATTTAGGGGTGGATACTGAATAAATTCCCCAAAAAGGTTCTTGATTTACATATTACCATTTCCAAATGATGTACTCTGCCTTAAATCTGGTCAATTTTATGGATTATTGGATTTATAATTGTAGAACCTGATGAGAAATCATTGAAAATAACATTCTTCGTTCATATAATTGTGTATCATTATGTGATTGTTGCGATCGCTGAATTTCATTGAATCATGAACCAATCTAAGTTAGACCACCATTGAAAACTTGGACGGCTGATTTACCCTAGTATAAGACTCTTCAGAAGTGTACAAACCACATTTAAGGTTCGTGGATTTTTTGGTAATTCATTCATAAATCCTACCCTTTTATGCATTACAATCATAATGATTACGGAATATTGATTGAGCTTGATTGGATCATAATTTGTTTCTCTTCTACATATTCCATTCTTCTATAAATTGGACTTTTATGGTAAAGTTTGCTATATAAAATATGGCAAAAAAATTCTTACTTACGAGTCCAGTACTCATCATTCTATTTGCAGTATTTACTGTATCACCAAACAAACAATATCTTGGTGATTTAAATCCAACAATTCCAGCAACGATCGAACCAGTATGACAACCAATGTATAGTTGTAGTGGTATATTTTGTTCATCTTGAGTTCCTGTCGAATTATCCAAAAAAGCTTCACTAGGCCAAAATAGATGTCGTTTTGTAACTTCCAGAATATCTAATGCCATTTCAATTATATGGGCTGAATGAAAGGATGATGGACTTGGAGCACCGGATACTAGCATATAACTATCACTAATTGTTTCAATCTTTATTATTTAATAGAAAATGGAATCAGTTTCAATTTAAGAAATATAAAATTTCCTACTAGAATTCATCATGGGCACATGAAAATCTTTCCGTAATGTGAATTATAAACATTCGAAATTGTTAATTATATTTCCTATTACAAATAACACTTTAAATGACCATAAAACTTTGTACCAAAATGTCATTTAATAATATAAGTAATTATAATAATTAATGAATAAAATGGCTATAATTTTCCATTTTAACCATAAGTAGGGTATTTTAGTCACAAAAAAATGTCAATGTACTTGATTTTAATAGTTAGTTTCAGCTCTCATTGAATGGGAATTGCTTTAAGAAAGAATTATCGATTAATTAACTGAAAGGTAAATATCATGTGTGTAGCTGTTAGTCATGCTCTGCAACTCAAGTATAAAATCAATGGCCCGTATTAAAGAATGAACCTAGTTAGGAATTAATTTTGAAATATCCTCTGTGGAAGAACAGGTTTATTTATTCGAAAAAAACGATTTCTTTATATCCGATGAGTTTTCCGTTAAAAATATAACGAGGGAATCGTCTTTTAAAAAAGTTTATTTTTGTCGTTATATTTAGGAGAATGGTTTTGAGTCAGGATTAATTATTTAGACACAATCACATAATATTCGAAAGTATATCGGACAACTTTTGTATCAGATAGTAATTGTCTAGTAGGAACTGTTATATTCTAACGAAGATTAAATTATAAGTAACTTCTGAGAGCACCGATGGCGTCAAATATTGTTGTCGGATGCAATTTTTCTAGGCCATCTCTGGCCCAATATACGAGGTAAAGACCGGTGTCAGGCAAGGTTGCTTACCCTCACCCTTGCACCTTCTCCTGGCGATCGACTGGATCATGAAGACGTCAACGTCCGAAGGGAAGCGCGGGATACAATGGACATCTAAGATGCAATTGGATGATCTAGACTTCGCAGACGATCTGGCCCTTCTATCCCAAACGCAACAACAGATGCAGGAGAAGACGAACAGTGTGGCAGCAGCCTCAGCAGTAATAGGTCTCAATATACACAAAGGGAAAAGCAAGACTCTCCGATACAACACAGCATGCACCAGTCCAATCACAATTGACAGATAAGATTTGGAAGATGTAAAAACCTTTACGTATTTGGGCAGCATCATTGATGAACAGGGTGGATCTGATTCAGATATGAAAGCGCAGATTGATAAAGCAAGAGCAGCATATCTACAACTGGAGAGCATCTGGAACTCAAAACAATTGGCAACCGACACCAAGGTCAGAATTTTCAATACAAATGTCAAGACAGTTCTGCTGTATGGGGCGGAAACTTGGAGAACTACGAAACCGATCATTCAGAAAATACAAGCGTTTATTTACTGTTGTCTGCGCACAATACGTCTGATCCGTTGGCTCATTTCTCTTACTACTCATCATTTAGTTGTTACCCTACGTAAATTAGCAAAATTCAAAAGTAAGTTAAGATATAACTTTTCTCTGTTGATAAAAAGGCGATACTGGTGGTACTTAACATACCACATAACATACATAACAATAATTGAATTAACAACACTATGGTTACACAAAAAAATGGGTCAAAATTTACGATTATTATAACATTTAGTCGAACCCAATTAACTGGTACTTATGAATAAACAGCAAATCTATCTTTCTAATTATTAACAAAGTGGTAAGCTATTAGAAACCTGTTGAAAATTATTCGTTTTCCATCAGCTTCTAGAATTATTCAAATCTCAGTCATGAATCAAGTTTATATTCCCTAAATTTCTACATGTAGTTTAAAGTTCAAATGATTAATTATATTCTAAGATAGTCGTTGGTAATCAGAGCCAAGATTGATATTTCGTCGTAGGAACTAGTCAGTTAGATTTATTTATATGCCAATGTTAATGTTCACAATAAAACTCGGATCCATTGATTGTCTTTTCAAAGTAATAAAGTATTTCACACAAATAAGATTTTGTTTTTATCTAATCGAGCTTGCTTATAAAAAAATTAAACGACACTTTAAAGAATTATTTTTTTACGAACATTTCATCTTACATTAAATAATGAACAAAGAAATTTAAATGGACCAATATCCATTCAGTATCAATTTACCTTATAAACATTATGTGATTCAGTCATTGAATCATAAAGTGTGTACATTTGATTTAATATATCGACAATTTTATGTGGACACATTCGACTAGAATAATTAGAAAAATTAACCACTTTAGTGAAGCATATTGTCACTGAATTGTATGCCTGAAAATTTTAATAAAATAAATAAAAATATCAGATGGGTTTTGTGGATATTATAGTAATTTCAATGGTTAAGACTATGAGTCCTGGAGTTCTAGTGAGAAGTAGTGGAGTTCAACCAGGTCTGTTGTGAGATAGTAACTCACTGAAGACAATGGTGGATGTGTCTCTCAGTTTCGTGGGTTAGCTGAAGTTAGAAATTAACACCGTTGGATGCCGGCTCAGCGGTCTAGTGGTTAACTGCTCGCGCGCAAAACCAGTAGGTCCTATGTTCGAATCTCGCAGGGGGCGAGGTCGTGGATGCGCACTGCTGAAGGGTCCCACACTAGGACGAAACGACCCTCCAGTGCTCCCAGGTTTCCCATGGTGGTCTAGCATCAACTTGTTCATTATTTTAACCATTGAAATAATTAAAAATTGAAAGAAAAAATTATCTACAGTTGATTAGATATGAAAAATCAGCAAATTTAACCAGTATAAGAATTCAATATCTCGATTTATAAACATAAATTATTAACTATGTAAACTATTGAATATTAAAAAAAACTATTCAAATTTGGGTGATTCAAATCAGTTAAAAAAAATTAGTCATACTATACTGTGTGCTACTGATGTCGATAGATATAAGTAGTATGGTATCATCAGTCGAAAATGAAATATTTGGAGGCAGAAGGTTAATAAAGATCGAAGAAAAAAGAATGAAAAGAGCGAATGATTGGTGTGAAAATGAAGGAACAATCAAGTCTGAGACAACTGATGAACATTTCCCAAATGAAGTATTTACTGTATAGTTCTCAGATTTTATTAATATGTTCTGTAATTTTGTATTCGCATATATTTAGTTGTCCCCGCTTGTGTTCTCGTTTACTACAAAATTACTTCATGACATTAAAATGGTGTTTATCCTTAAGACATTCGTTGATGATGTATAAACGATAAAGTTCTTGTTTGGTTCATAAAATCATTAAAAGTAAACGTACATAGTTCACTTGGTATTGTTTACTTGAATCTTCCCATTGATGTTTAGGACTGCAGTTGATCAGTCTCTTATTGGCACATGTGCATACTGTGCATATTGCTTCGATATTGTCTTAATTCTCAAGCATTTAAAACAAAGATGGATAGTAGCTAGCAGTAGGATCGCGATGGCGTTTGAAGTGAATGGTACTGAGTTCGAGCTCCAGAGTAAACATCAACTCTGAGGTGCAAGTACACCCAGTTGACGAGTACCAAACATAATGGACCGCGTGTCCTGGATTCCACTGCTAGCCACTATCCATCTTTGCATTGAACGTGTATAGATTTGTAAATACTAGACAATTTCAAAACATTTCTCTATAGAAAATAATTTCATCGTTTTTATCCGAAAGTAACAAAATAAGAATGTAGATTATGTATGTGACAAACTGGAGTTATCAGGCAGTCATCAACTTGATTTCTTATCATTACTCCTAACTGTTAACGATATATTCTAGCCTCAAGTCGAATTTTCAAGTCTAAATCAAATTTATAACTCCACTGCGCGTCACTTCGTCTCGGTTCGCTTTGCTTTCTCCACTTCGTTTCTCTAATTGTCTGTCTGGATCAATTAGTGTATAAAATATACGTATTCAAAATTCATTCTCGTATTTGACCTGTTCCGTTATTCTCTAACACGGACAGAATCAACGAAAATATACGAAGTTTGTTGCTATGTACATTTCAGTAACAATCACAAAATAAAGGGCCACTTAAAGACAAAACAAACATAAGTAGTTATACATTTACCCCTGAATAAGTTAGCAGACAGTTGAACATTGTCTTATCTATGATGAAAATTTTTAAAATAAAAAGTGTAGAACAAAATTTCACCTTCATTGTTTCTGAAGGATGTTTTCCTTGACTTATTTGTTGTGCAACTTCTTTAGGTAAGCATTGTTCCAGCAGTTGATAGGTTTTTCTTCGTTGTTCATCGAGTTTTCTGGCTATTTTTGATAACTCCGTACTTTTTCTTTTTTGCTATGAATACAAAACAGAATTGTAGTTAACCTAAGTAATAATCTAATAAACTCATTCTATGTATCAGCTTCAGGTAGCCCAATGTCAGAAACCTGGTGAGTCTGAATTGGAGTTACAAAGCGCTAGAAGACACTCCGTTTAAAAGAATTTTCCTTAGTCTTCATACTAAACGACTTCATAGTCAAGCTACGCATCGGATTATTGAAAAAGATGTATAAATCTAAAAACGATCTCTCTATCTAAAACAAACCTGTTGTCAGAACGATTGTTAAAAGAGATCACCTGAAGCTGTACAACAATTAACGAAGTAAAACTTTGCATAATATTGGACACCGTTATAATTTACAATTTAAATGAAACGCGGTTGAAAATGGTTTTCTGTAGATAAAGCGTCTTAAACTCTCACATTGACAGAATTAATTTCAACCTTACTTTCCTTAGGTATTCAAACAACATCACTTTAATTATGGTCGACACTAACTATATTTCCTAGCATCAGTGCTGTGGTCATGACTTTCTTGTTAAGTGGCCGAGAAATTTGTTTAAACAATAATAACTGTTTAGCTGCTCATTAAACGTGTATTTTTCGTACATTAGAAATAAATAACCGTCTTGCTCTTCACTGTGTACGGATCAAAAGCTGGACGCCCCATCTGTTCTTTTCTAAATTGCTTTTATGATAACATCCTAGATACGTAAATGTAATCTGAAATTTGATTAATTACAATTTATTATTTTGTATTTTAAAAATCCATTAAGTTAGTGGTTTTTTATTAGCTAAAGGGAAAAGTTTAGAATTTTACTTCCTCATGTGGGGTAGGTCACATTGGCCGCACAAACCAATCACTTGTTAAACACATCTCAAAACACTACTTGGCATGGCTTTTAAAAGGAAAATGTAAAACAATCACCAGTTCAATACAGGAGTATCTAATCAACTCTGGGCACATCTCTCCGAAGGAGTCTTCTTTTTAAATAATCTACACAGTCAAAGGAACTGGATCGAAGGGAGGTCGAATCAAAAACTTGTGCACTGCTGAGGCATTGGCGATCCACCAAATCAAGCATGAATTCTGCGTGCGAAAACGATACGTCCAACTTCTCATCCTTCCTTGGCCCTCATTCCCTTCTGTAGTATGTTTTGGTGTGTCGTTTTTTTAAACAAGTGCATTGTAATTTTAAACCGTAATGAATTATTATTCTTTCACAATTTTTCATGATTATTATTCAGTTATTATTATGACCTTTATGTCTTTCGTTGTTCATCATATCTGTAACTTGGACAATTACCTTTCATAATTCGGACCCGTAAATTATTTCCATGCTTATATTCTTTTCTTACCCCTTGATTATTACGTAACGTCATCTGATAATAAAAGTCTCGAATCACCTTACGATGCAATCTTTTCTACCCTTCTATAGACATACAATTTCTAGGATTCTTTATTTATTATTATCAATATGGGGATTTATGGAGACTGTAGTATCTTCGCAGTTGAATTCACGAGTCGATCTAAGTTAGACCAACATTAAAAACATGGGAGCACTGGACTGCCGTCTCGTCTCGTTATGGGACATCTCAGCAGTATTCACGATCCCACGCGTGGGACTCGAACCCGGGACCTTCTGTCTCGTGCGTGAACGCTCGACCTCTAGACCAATGAGCCAGCATCCAACAGTGGTAGCGTCTAACTTCAGTCGATCCATGATCTTTAGTTTGTTTCTTCTGTAATTTCATTTTACGAAAGCTCAGTTGAATAACTTCTAGCCATCTATCAAGCATTATTCTTTAGATTGTACATAAGTACTTCGATTATTACTTTAATGTAAAGTGTTGAATAAATGTTGTTTATGATTTAGAAACGATCAAATTATCTTTATTAACTCAGCCTGTGGCTTTTCTAGAATTACTGCCGGTCCCAAAACTGGGTAAAGGAGGAGGGTTGGGCATGGGGTCAGCAACCCCACCCCGTAGAAAAAAATCTTTGTAAAAAAACGCCAACCAGTAAATTATCTTTATTACGAAACATTATTCTAAAATAATAATAATAAAACTCACTTTTTCTAATAAAAATAAAAGATTTTTAGATACTGTATCACCTAAGATCATTTTCTCAACTTTAATATCATATAAGTTAATGTCTTGTAAATGTAGTCCAAAGTCGATAAAAGATTTAATTTCTGAAAAACTAAAAACAAATAAAATAATTTAAAGGTAGAATTATTTTAATTAACAGTATGAGGTTGTGGAGACTAGTAAATTTTTGATTGAGATCATGAACCGATTGATGTTAGACCACCATTGAAAACCTTGAAGCACTGGACGGCTGTTTCGTCCTGTTTTGGGACTCCTCAGCAGTGAGTATCCACGATCCTGCTTGCGGGTTACGAACTTATCAAGTTAGTCATTAATTTGATTATTTAAAGAGTAATCGAAATAATTACAATTGTAATAGGATTTTTAATGAATAACTACGTTGGTTAGTTAAAAAAATTTGAAAAGTAGTAATTCTTAAAGATTTTCAAGCCTTTCAAATCATACTATTAGAACGCATTTAAGAAAATAATAAGTAAACAAATAAAAGAATGAGGTAAGACTTTCAAATTTTTTTTTCAACACCATCAAATCATCCAACTTTCAAAAAAAGAAGAAATATCCCTTAAGTTTTTTTTTTACATTTTAATAAAATAACATCTGTTGCCTAGGTACCATAATTGCAACATTAACTGTTCATATTATGTTTTAATATCAAACAAAAAATAATATATGTTGACTAGTAGTCATTATTATGTATCCAAGGTTAGTGATTCTACATTCTGTTTATGATTGGTAATAAGTATATGCTCAAAGAAAATCTTAAATAATGAGATAACTAAATCGCTTCATAATGTCTGAGCCTACATTAAAACACATTGAATAATAGTCAAAGCGTATGAACAAAAGGTGAAATTTTTTTATGCGTTACGAATGATATTACATTATAAATTATAGTAAAATTGAACCATTCACTTACTTTGGTTTCCCTATAAAAAGTAACATTGACCATTCTTTTACATAAATCATTTGACCCTTAATATATAACATTGATTTTTGACTCTCATCTATAAAAAAAAAGAAAAAATCCACCTTGATATTATTTGACTTTGAAACAGTTCAATGGTTTCAGTCACTGGTACTAAAGAATCAAAGTTAATATTTGTGTAAGTTGAAGTTAAATGCATATTTTGTTTCAAGAGATTACTTAGCTTTGATTCTTTAAATACTATCTGTTTAATGTATATATTCTCTCATTACTGAATGTACTTCATAGAAAATGATCGAAAGTAAGGTCTATTTTCACATGATTATTCATTCATCAGATTCAAGAGTATATCATAGAACTTATTCTCTTCATTATGAAAATTGTGCTTATTTATAATTATAATACTAATAGTAACAATGATGAAAGTTTAATTCAGCACAAGCAGTTTTTTATAGTCAAAAATGAAAATTTATCAATCACTACGGTGTTTGTGTTTGAGATTTCAAGTGTTTAAGATTACGACAGCCCATGAGCGCACACCATTGCAGTTCATCATCACTTAGGTTAAACGAATCTAAAATAGGAAGGTGAATTTCAACAATTATACAGTTAAAAAGTGCACTATTGAGTGACAAGATTATGTATATTTATATTCCTCTCTTTATAAGCTTCATTTTTACCTACTGATTATTATTGTCATATGATTTGCTATCCTTAAGATATTCACAATTTATTAATTACAGTTTCTCACAATCACTGCCACTTCCTCACTTGATCGTGTACAAATGTTATTTTCTATCTTCTGATATGAAGTGGTCTGGTTGGCTTGTACATATAAACTGTGTATGCTTGAAATAAATGATTCATATAGTGGGAGGTGATATTGGTGCTGTGGAGTGAACAGGTAGGGCTAATCATGAAAAGGACGAATAATGACTCTGAGCTGCTCATACCGGTCAATACGTGATTGTTATGGCACAGTGTTAAGATAGTATAAGTCGTATTCTGATTGGTGAATAAGTCACGGGACAAACTGACCGGACAAAAGTCACAAAATGACCTTTGAAAACAATTCTTAGAATCAACCAAATCTTACCAGAATATGCCTGATGATTTTTTTTATCCTAGTTACGGATATTTACTTATCTTTCATTCATATTCACCTTCTTATTATCGAATTTCCAAAGTTTATTCTTTGTAATGAATACTGAGTAAGAATTCAGTAGTCAGTATTTTCTTTATCTTTTAGCATTTCAAAAAGTTTGCTATTAAATGCGACGATGTGATATTACTTCATATAATAAATATTATAATTATCTCCCATGCATTAAAATAATGTACCATATAGTCTATTAACGTAGGAGATCCCTATGTTTCCTCATGAAAATTAGTGTAGTTTAGTCAGAAAAAAGTACTTAAACTGATTTTACAAATTAAAAATCCTATAAAGGGCTGTTTATTTTTTAAAAAAATTACACAAAAAATTAGAACATGATTGCTAATGATGTTGCCTGGTGAATTTCAGTCGAAACCCAATATATAACAAGTTATCAAAATAAATAAATAAATATATATATAAACATTATCACCCACTCGATTTTCTATTAATCTTTAGCCCAATTTTAAACGTGGAAGAAGAAAACATCATAATCTGTTTAAAACAAAGATAAAGGAAATGTTGAGAAGACAAATCAAGGAGCAAAATAACATTTTAGCGGGATATATTTTTTGAAGGCATTTCATGAGATAAAACTTTCAAACGAAATCAGACTGTTTCCAATGTTGTTGTTTTTCAAATGAATAATTCAGTGCATTATTTTACTGAACTATTTCTTCAATAATTTAACCATACATTGTTACAATCTTGTTTGTATCTAAAATAAATGTGCAATAACATTTATTTACAACAATTAGTGGCCAGCAGTGGAATCCAGGACACACGTTTCGTCCTATTTGGGACTCGTTTCAGAGTTGATGTTTGAAGCGAACGGTATTGGATTCGTGTCGCAGAATGAACACCAACTATGAGGTTCAGGTACATCCAACTGGTGAGTCCCAAATAGAAAGAATTGTGCGTCCTGGATTCCACTTCTAGCCACTATCCATCTTTCCTTGAAACGCTTGTGAATTAAGGCAATGCCAAGGCAATACGCATAGTATGCACATATGCCTATAAAAGACTGGTCAATTGCAGTCCTAAACATCAATAGAAAGATTCAAGTAATCAATATCAAGTGAACTAATCGATTATTTTCTTCAACTTTTATTTAACTCATTGGTTTACATTTCTTTTTGTGACAAATGAATTTTTAATTTAAAGACTAATTCAACAACTTTGAAATAAATTTTAAATCAGAGCATGTAAATGGTCTCTCAGATGATAACTAAATGTTTAAAGAATCCATTACTCATTTAACAAGTAAAATATGTTTGTAATGATGACGTGAAAGTAGAGCAATGGCTAAGACGTATTTCGCATTACTGAGATTCACTATTAAACATTTGATTGGGCAGGACAGTTTACGATTAAAATTCTCCTGATAGATATTTTATTCTTATGTTTGTTACTGGAAAGCTTTCATTTGTCTCATCTTACAAGCACTATCGAAATGACTAAAGATATATCTACAAATCTTAGGTATTTATCTTCTGAAAAAAAATTTCGAGATCCTTTAAATGTCAATTATACAAACTGCTTAAACAACATATCTTACTGTAGATCCAGACGAATCTTATTGTGATACACTTTTCAGGTGTATATTTACTAACTTTTGATGGATTAATTTAGAGACATGTTCTTCTGAAATAAAATGATGTGACAGAGATTGATTTAAAAATATGGTTAAATATGATCTTTTAAACCTGTATAAATTTATATCTTACTTAAGGATGTTAGTATTAGAATGTTTGTCATGAACACCACTGTCTTCAGTACAACTTAACAAATTTACTGTAAAGATTATTTTTTTTCTTTAAAAATATATCGTCGTATATCTTACCCGTTCAAATAATGGTTTCACAATTGGTAACATGATGACGAAAAATTCTTGAAACTTAGTATTGATTAAAGTTGGCTGAAATTCTAATAATCGTTGTCCAGCACTATGTATCATTAGATTTTTATCGATTAACAAATGGAATGGTAATAATCCAAAAAAATTTTTATTGGAAATTTTCGGTAACATATTCATTGTATCTAATCCAGTCTTTACCATACAAATCTCATATTCTTTAAAACTTTCACCAATAAATAATTCTAATGTAAATACAGTTCGATATAATGAACCTTCATTTGATTCTGAATTGATTTTAATAATTAAATGTAGTTGATAAATGTATTTAGCTACTTCAAATAATAGTCCTTTTGTATAATGATTATAACCAGGTCGTGTTGTTGTATATTCTAACATTATACAACTTGATGTACTAGATAAGATAACAAATGTCGGTGGTTTAATACGATGATAACTATAACGTAAATATTTATGATGATCATTTAAATTTAATAATAAATCTTTGAATGTTTTACCAGATGCACGAAGTAGTTTTTCAAAACCATTTCTAATTAAATATTGTATGGTATAACGTCCAATCCCAAAAAGAATTGTATCTTTATCTGTGAATATTTTATCACCTAATATTGTGGCAATTCTTGTCATCAAGTTGTCACGGTATATTTTTTTAGTGTCAATATCAAATTCTTTACCAGTAGATTTTTTACATAACCATATCCATGTATTTTCACCATAATTGTCTATAATATAATGTTTAGCAGCTTCTAATAATATACCATACATAATTTCTAATAAATTACTGATACTGAATAAAAGAAATTAGAATAGAAATATTATTTAGTTACAGCTAATTCGTGGTATTTATTTATGAGTATAAAGTGTTTCCATTGGTCCATATAATATATACAAGTTTTTACTACTTAAATAGATAATTTATGAGATATATCAAGCTTAATAAATTCTTAGTCATATACTGCAGTTTATGATAAATGACGGAATCTAAATGAAATTAGCCAGTAAACAGGTACATAGGTAGTCTCATGTAGATTTTAATTATGATTGAAATATATTTTTGCTATTCCTTAACTTGTATAGTGTTCAATTCCAATACTGAGAAATGAAAGATTTTTCCTGAAACTGATTATGCTTATCATAATTGATACTGATATTGATTTGTTTATACTGTCAACTAATTGAGGTGATTTGATAGTATTAATTATGAGGCTGAAAAATGAATCACGTTATAAAATTATTTCATCTCAAGTGACAGATTTAATAAATTTATTAAATTACCAATACTGGTATTTGACCACAGATGCCTCAGAAATATTGCTGGCGTCTTCTGGGATCACCGGGTAAGTAATAGTGAGGTTAGACGCAGGGTATTAGGGAATGATGGTAAATCAGTTGATAAGGTTGTGAATCTTCATCGACTGAGATGGTTGGGCCGCGTGTTACGTATGCCTCAACACCGATTACCACAATGTGCAATGCTAACCGGTGTTGGAGATGGTTGGAAGAAAGTTAGGGGCGGCCAAACCAAAATGTAGCATCGGTGCTTGAAGTCACTAACTTCTAGTCTGAGCCATGTAGGTAGATACTAAAGTACTTGATTAGGGTCCACGTGACTATCGTAACCAATGGTTGGAGACTCTTGGTGACATGGCTCAGGACCGATCACAATGGCGTCGATGTATACACTATCTATCTTCCTTCAAACTAACAGATTAAGATCGCCTCATATTTTTTTCTACGAACTAATCCTTTCTTCCAGTACTATATCCTTATATGCAATCTTTCTTTTGTTTATTATCTCCATTGACTTAACTGCTCGCATGAATCTGATGTTCATCTTGCTGTGCTAAAGCGTTATGGCAATTTGGATCGATGCATATATGTGTCTGATCCTAAGTTGTAGCTGACTAACTGAAAGTTTAGAAATTATTAATAATTTAACTAAAAGTAACTAGCGAATGAAAATAGCTGTATTACAATGATTTCAAATGGTTATTTAACTTGTACCGACCCCTATGGAATTACACATCTTTTATATTATGTTGAATTTTAGGTTGAAACTCATGTTAAAAATAAGCTTATAAAAGAACACCGAAGTAGAACAATTCTGCTCTTGATGTTACCGTTATATTAGTCTTTTCTGTCATTTTTATGTAAACACCTTTATTTAACAATGTTTTGACTGATTGGATAAAATCACCACTTAGAATGAGTAAAAGAGAACCACAAAGCTCATTTTAAAGAAATACTCTAACCGAACCTGATAACAGTTCTTTAATTGGATGAGTGGGAACGTTACAGCGTCTTCATAGTTTTAATGGATTAGGGTTTTGCATGAGTAATATTTCTACATCAGTATTATTAAATTCATTCAGTTATTAATTAGTACATAGTCATTAGTGACAAGTGATTTTATTCCCCAACTGCCCATATATATAGAATATACAAAATCCTGATGAGATATTCCTGTAAATTATCTTACTAACCATTTTACAGTATATGGTTCTAAACAAATGAAAGGCAACTATGGTATAAAAGTACAGTAGTTCAATTAAATCACTAGGTTAATTATTCACCAACTGTTCAAATGTCCAAATAATTTTCTCTCTTTTTCTTAACTAACCACATTATTTATTCTGGCTTTATATAAATGTTTACAACTAATCATTTTATTTACATTGCAAAACTTAAGTAAAAATGTGGCAGTCATTAGTTATTTTCCCCATGTACATAAAGTCCTATAAAGGTACTCAACGATAAATTGTGTAGCATGGGGATTATGGTATGTATTACGTTATGAGGTTAGGACTAGTCTAAAATCATCACAGTTTACCAAGCATTCAAAATGCAATATTGTATAAAGCTATTTTTAACAACACAGATTGTACCTCCCAAAAACGTCTATGTAGAATAATTCACTAAATTTACTTGCTAATTGAAGGAAACACTTAGGAGACAATATAAAATTGCGTTTTGAGTAAAAGTAATAAACGATAAAATTCACTAATATTTCATCGGTTTTATGTCATAAAGACACAACATCTCAATTAAAGTTTATCTAATAGTCTGTTTGAACCACCTAAAATATTTCTATCAACCCTCTAAATCAAAACTTTGCTTTCATCTGAAGAGATACTCTCTATGGTATTTATAAATGATTGACGACTGGGTAGTGACCAACGTCATGTACGTCATTACTTACTTAGTGAAGATCGAATGTTATCGATCAGTTGTAAATACACCTCAGTCCTATAAGAGATCAGTCGCGGCCCGAATAGCTCAGTGGTAACGTCTATGACTGTGAAGCTGGGAGACACGGATTAAATTCAACAGTGAGTATCAGTTCACACAAGGTTACTGGCATATCTCGCTGATGATTACTAAATAACACGAAAGGTGCTTCAAACGTTTCCTGTTGATTACTTCCGACCATCAGGCTACATTAAGATATCAAAAAAGTACACTGAAATGTTTCAGAACTCCCGGTTTGTCAGTTGAATAATAACCAAATTTCAAACAGTATAGACTGTAATTAACTCGCTCATACAATGAAATCACCTTTCTAGAGAGTACCGACGCACTTTCAATCTACTTCGTAGGTTTTCTAACAGATTTTATGGTTAATTCTGTTAGTAATTACAGTCCGGTCCCAAGACTGGGAAAGTAAAGAACCTTCCTTCCAGATACTGAAAAACTCAATGAATTAAACATAGTTCTCAACAACAGCTTCCAAGCCTTACAAGATCTACTCAAACAATAGAAAACTAATATGGAAAACAACGTATCAGAAGGTTCTCGGCCTATGTGTCACAGATCGATCATACGCCATTCAGAAAAGTTCACTTAATATCATATTCTATTTAAAATTTAGTTTACTTATTTCGCAAACAGTAGTATAGCAAGTGCTGCAAGAAATATATAAATTTAGTGTTTCATAATCTTCTATAGTCTTCTTACAATAGTAGAAAAAATTTGTATCGTAAATTAATGCTTTTATTAATGTTCTGTCTATATGGAAATCTCCTATATAAAATAGACCATTTTCATGTTGTCCAGCACAACAATGATCATCTTTCAATAAGATCATCAATTTCAGAGAACTAAATCATCTTCACTAACTATCATATCCAACAAAGTGAACTTTCTTTTCCAAAATTTATTTAAATACAATTTAATTTTGCTTTAAAAGAAAGATTCCTAGATCTACTAAGTAAACACTCATTTCAAAAAGGATTACTTACTTTTTACTTCACTTATGCCCTGTTACCCTCAATGGAGCATAGGCTGACAACCAGAGAATGAATCACTATTAAATCAGTGTTTACATGTTTAATTAAATCTAATACAATGTTTCATGAAAATCTAATTTAATGAGCAGATCTAAAAAAAACAGTAATTAGATCTTTGAAACATTTCGCACCTCAATTCCAATCAAGAAACTAATGATGATAATAATAATAATAATAATGGAAAAATAAGTGAAAAAATCCCTTTTTTTAAAAAGAAAAACAAACTTTAATTCTATTTTAGTAATCTATTAATAACAAACGTTTATTTTTCTTGTATATAAAACGGGAAAGATCTAGTTTAATGATTCTTTTTCTTCAAAAAAAGACACTCTTAATTGCTAAATATACGATTGAATTCAATATAATTGAACAACTACTTAATTTGGATTATTTTGAAACTTAATTGAAAAAAAGAAAAAAAACTATTTTTCATGATTAATCATTTTGATAAAAACAAGAAAAAAAATATAACAACAACTTCATTATTTATGAAGAAATCATTAAGAATTTGAATAGTTGCGATCATGAGTCAATTGAATCTAGAACACCATAGAAAACTTGGAAGTATTGGAAGACCCTTTCGTCCTATTGTGAGGCTTTTCGTGGATGAACACTGCTGAGAAGTCTCACATTAGAACGCAACAACCACTTAGTGCTTCCAAGTGTTCCATGGTGATCTAATTTCGAATGACTTATGATCTCAACTATTTAAATTACGGTAATATCTACAAAACCTCTTCTAATAGAAATCATTCAAAGTTTAAAAATCCAAATGGTAGAGAAGAAACATTAAAAAGAAAGGGGAATATTAATTTTTTTGGCAAAAACAAAAAAATAATTCCCATCTAATCAGAATTTTTATATAAAAATAAATAAAATAGAGATTAGAGTAGATAATTGTGATGATGTTTTTATGAATACATTAGTGAAAAGAAAAAGTGTAATTCTATCAGTATCACTATTATCATGAATGTTTGTATTAGAGATGTACAATAAGAAAGATAAATACAATAAAATGTGAAAATGTATATTATATAGAATGTTAAAAAGTTTTATTTATATCTTTTTTTTTAATGGATAGAAACAAATAAAAAAATTATTGTTTAATCTAGAAGATACTACTTAAATAATAAGGGATAAAATTGTAATATTCCAATTCAATCTGATAATTATTCGTTAAATTATCAATTTATTCATAATATTTGATTGATATTAAAAAAACGATTATTGATAAAATAGTGGATCTTGAGTGTTTTGAATGTGTCTTTTTTTACTTTCATTTTGAAGGATCCTTAAAAATTTAGGTGTGTTAGATTTCAAGTTGACGTAACCGAATACGGTTTAAGAGTTATTCTGTCAACTGAAAATTAATTTACATGGGACAATTAACATACGATTGAGATTCAAGAAACCACAAGAAGATATATGTGAAGTCGATGAAAATGACGAACAGATATAATGATCATTTGGCTAGAGAAAATTCACAATTAGAATGTATAAA